AGTAAGTGTGATTTAACACTATCAGCGTGTGTATAGTAAGTGTGATTTAACACTATCAGCGTGTGTATAGTAAGTGTGATTTAATACCGCAATGACCGACCAGGTTCTTCATTCAAAGACAATGGTTTGTTGTCATGACGCCCACGTAGGATACATAGGTCTAACACAGTACATGGGGTTTGGAAGATATTGGAAAATAAAGGAGCATTGTGAAATTGTTGCAATTTACATTGGATAACGCATTCGCCTTTCACCAATATTTTGGTGATTTTTTAGTTCATTGATCAGATATAAAAGTACACGCTACGACCTTGACGCCTTTACGCACACGAAAAGATTAAATAAACCGTGAAATAAAACGTTAACCGATATTTTGATATGTGTTGTCTTTTACCGTAACAACAGCAGCGGCGAACGTATAGTCAGTGCCTAATATATTCTACTGGACTCCAGACGGTTAGTTTATCTATGTGGGAATTAAACTCGATTATATTAAAATGAAAGAATTGGAGGCATTCTATTGAGACACTTCAAAACATTATATAACATTATATAACTGTTTTTCGACAAGGAACTTTTATTTTCAACAGTTACAATAATGTGTACTTGCTGATGTGTGATTTTAATCTGTTCATAAATCCAATAATCTTTTATTGACCACGGCATGACATATAAAATACCGGATACTGGCATGGTTACCACAGAAATATTGGTTTCCGGTCGTCATGCGCAAGAAGACAGAGACAATCCAACAGTACCAATTCGTTCTGGAGTTCTGCGTCACTCCGTAACAATTTGCTAAGTAACACACGAAGAATGACTGGATCTTCTAGGCCAAAGTCCTCCACGGTCTGCTTGTCTGGAGGAGCGTTCAGGAGACCGTAATTGTTGACCATGTCCTGAGAAAACTGTCCATGTTTTTCTAGGTTGTAACCAAAAGACGAAAGCGTTTTCATGATGAAGTCAAAACGATAGCGCATCTCGATCTCCTTCCTGACATTGACCTTGCCCATCTCGTCCGTGGCCTCCTTCCGTATCATCTGCCCCGTATTGGCAATGCTGTATCCATAATACCGCTTCCGCTTCTCCTTGTCGGACACAGATTTCCAGGAGAACACGTGCTCCAGGATTCGTCTATCCAGCTGGAAGGCGATTTCCCCTACCAGTCTCTTACTTGCCCGAATTTTCGCGATTTTCTGACAGCGTGATTCCGTCAGGATGGGCTTAAACCCGATCACACTATCGATTGGGCGGTTCAGCACATTGCTGCTCGCTGTAACAGAAACAATGCAAATGTTGATAAAAGACAATTCTACGGCAGCTATGGTCACCTACGGCGAAACAACTGTAAAGACATCGGCGATGTGTTTTAACCCGCCGTCAACTGTATTATATTGTTCGTTTGCTATTTTTTATTAGTCAATTTAAACCATATTTTATTCATGTCAATATTAACATGTATAATTAAAAAGCCGTTTGATTGTGAGGATTGGGATACAAGTACGTACTTCTACACTGTAGATCATCCTTCTCCTCCTGTTTAGTACATACCTGTAATCCGCGATGCTGTTACTGACTGCTTTTGTGAACTAAGACTCTGTTCTAAACTATCTGGAAAGAAAAATGAAATCAGAATAGAAACTATACGAGAGTTAGAATTATTGATCTTTACCTTTGTTGTCATGACGACTGTGACGTTAAACTCGTATGGCATGACAATTATAACAGACATACATAGATTCTATATCCACCTACCCACCCTATGAATCAATTAGATATTTGATATTGTGTTTGATATTGACCTTATTGCTAGATCAGCAATAGTTGGAAACGAGGCCGGATGCACTTCTTCTATACGTAGTTCCTACTGACTCTGTTTTCTGATGTGCCGGAGGCAAATTGACGACTTTATTTCTTTGGTGGCGTTTGGAAATATATGCTTCACCGTGATGTCCCTTTAAATGCCAAATTGATTTAAGCATTGAATCGTTTTCCTCAACCACGTGACACAATTGGCAACCCAACTGATTATTGTGTTAATGACATCATTTAGTTATGACACCATGATTTTGCCTCAAGATTCTGACCGACACACTATAATGTCACAGAGGCCAATGAAGTAACAACATTCTTTTCTGATGTGCAATGAAGAAAACCACAGTCGATTCCCCGTTTTATGGTCGATGATGACCATCGTCGTCACATTTACATGTATATAACATAGAGAACAAAGACATTTGGAAAGCAAATAAATGCGAAATTACAAAATGCTATGATTGAAAGCAAGTGAGCCTTGATCAAATCAGATATAATCGACCAACGTAATCAACGGATTTAAAAATAACCTCTTTCTTTCGATCGATTGTGAGTGACGTAATTCCTGTGTGACAGTACGCAGCAGACATACCTCCGTAGTGACCGGCGTCTGCAGTACTACCCGGCTTTGCTGGTCTGACCGGGGTGGACGTAGCTATCGGGTCCCCTACAGCTTTACGAGTGACACTGGCGGGAAAACTTGCTGCTCTGGCCGTATCACCACCATATTGACCAACGTCTAGACCAGACTTGATATTTTCCGAACTTAAACGTTCAGGTTGACCAAACTGACCAAGACTTGACGGAACACTTCCGTAACCTTCACTTCCGGTTTGGTCGAGGTAGCCACTGACAGCCACACGTCTATCTCCGATTCCGACACTGAAGGAAGATCCGGGCATCTCAAAATGTGTTTGATATTGACCTTGACCAGTTGCACTCATTGGCGCATACTCCTCAATGGTTATTTGCCTTGATAACAACTTTTCTAGGCGGTCGTCAATGTCCGATGCTGGATCCGGGTACTTTAGATTGGATGTTCTCTCTGCTGATTTAGTTTCCATGGTATTTCTTCTGTTTGTATATGGCTGTTCTCTTCTATTGTTCACTGTTGGAGTAGGCACTTTATTCCCCGACTGACCCGTCGTCATTGACCGCTGGACAGGGGACCTGCTCCTTTGTAAGGGAGATTGGCTCCGTGGTAAGGGGGATCTGCCCGATGGTACGGGGGATTTGCTCCGTGGTAAGGGGGACCTTCCCGATGGTACCGGGGATTTGCTCCGAGGTAAGTGGGACCCTCCCGATGGTACCGGGGATTTGTTCCGTGGTAAGGGGGGCCTGCCTGATGGTACGGGGGACCTATTTGATGGTATAGGACTCCGGGATATTTGGCGTCTGTCGGCGGGTGTTGGTGTACTCGGCATGAGAACAACGAATGGGACATCGTCAGTGTCATTACTCGGGGAGTAGCGTCGAGGGGATTCCTTCTTGGAAGCTCCAGAGATCTGCAAACGCTGTGCGCTCTCTAGACTGCCGTCTTTCGGTGGTACGGATATTAAAGCGCTACTATCTCTATCTGAGAAATGTCGACTTTGTCGATTTGGAACCGAACCATGTTGACTTGTCTGCTGAGTTGAACCATAGGTATATTGACTGTTCTGTGTAGGCGGGACCGAAGCATATTGGTAGCTCCTGTTCGACATGGTTGACGAGAACTCTTTTGGAGGGTCGTGTGAGTACTGATTGCTCTGTTGCATCGGGCCTGGTGATATTGGCCTAAACGGACTAACAGCTGGTGACGGTTTCATTTTGACATCGTCGTTATTCACCGTGTCTGTTGCAAGAAACTCTGAAATAACAATAATAGTAATAAAATAAATAAATAATAATATTCGATTTTCAAAAGCGCCCTATATAATTTGAAAAATTACTCCAATGTGCTTTACAACACATGAATAGTAGTATTACTACAGTTACAGTTATAAAAGACATTAACCTAAACAAAACGAGAGATTAATACACGTATTAAAGAGCACGTACTTTATTTCCAAGAAAATCCTCAAGGAAAAGATACAAGTGACACTAAAACCCGTCTATGATTTCGTTACATTAGTACATGGAAATGTTTCATCACTGGGTTACCAGCTGTAGACATGGTCCAAACTGGAACCGATCAGGGGACAGTACACATACTTTTGGCCTGTCCGGTCATTTGCTCGTCACTCCAGACTAACAGACTGGCCAGCACATGAGCCGTCCTTAAGGAGGCGTTCTCGCTCATGGATACCAGACATTTCCGTAACTGTCGGTTTTCCTCCTTCAGACGGGCGTTTTCGGTCCAGAGTACCCGGTCAGCGCCCTTCGGGAGAGTGTTCTCGGATCTCAAAACCTCTGCGGCACCCGGTAACGTCTGACTGAACAGATCGCCGGGGCCAAGAGTTTGAAACCTGTCATTCCACACAGACATTTTTATCTGCTGGCATGACTGGTAACACTCAGCCGACTCAAGCTCCAACAAAACGTAACCATGGAGAGGTCATGACGTCACAATTACGGCTATAAGGATCATGCCCCATTGTGACGTCATAGTCCTTTAGGTTTGCCTAACACCCCATCTGCCCAATGTCTCAAAGCGACGCCGTATCTGTAAAATTGATTTGTATCTATAATACAATTATCACGGGAAGTTAAAACTTAAATCTTCGGATACAAGATACAAGATACAAGATTTTTTATTTAGAGTCGTATATGTTATAATGGAAACATTAGCTCTGTAGAGCTATTATTACGACAAACAAAGGTATAAAAACAGGACAAATAAGACAATATGCAAAAAACAACAGGCATATAGCAAGGTTTATACACACACAGACAAGAAAAAATATTAAATCACAGCATGCAGTAATTAAAAAAAAACTTTGTACGTACAGAACAAAGTATATATAAAAATCTATATTAAATTGATGCTGCACAAAAGATTCATGCCACATGCTCACATACATAAATGCTAATATGGCATGAGTTAAAAATTGACCGAATATATGCTGATATAGCATAAATTAAAAAGATGATTTGACAAGCATTGATTAAGTTATACAATGCGTAAATAAGAGCACTAAGCAAAAAATGAAAGGAAGTAAAAGCATAAAAGCATGGTATCACAAGACATGGTATCACAAGACATGACATGGTATCACAAGACATGGTAAAAACTAAGTATAGAAATGATAAAAAAAGGTTGGAACAAACAAACACGAGTAGTTACATATGGCGCAGGAACACAACTGGCCGTCCCAAGTGTGCAGCAGTCTGCGAAAGCTCTGGAAATGTTCTATTTTCCTCAGTTCATTAGGCAAACTGTTCCGCACTTGGACAGCCTCAAAACGAAAAGACTTTTTTCCATACCTTGTTGTGTTAACTCTTGGTACCTGATTGGTGTTCTCTTGCCTGAAATTATGTTCAACATTATTTTTATCAATCAATTCATTAAAAAATTCTGGAGCTAACCCATTTACATTTTTAAAGACTTCTGTAGCCATAGTTTTCATTCTAACAACGTGTAAAATGTGAGGTTGTTTCTGCGTAAACTATCTATCACAGGTGAGGCAAAATCGTTTTCAATAAAACACAGAGCTCTTTCCTGTATCTTTTCCATCTTTCGAGTGTTTCTGAGGCTACAAAAATTAGATGAAATAAAACATTTAAAAACGGTGATCTTTCCTAATTGTTTGGAGGCCTTTCTACAGATCTTAGATACATGGTCATCAAATTTCAATAAAGAGTCAATCTCCACACCTAGCAGAGTAACACTATTTTTACAATCAATTACCTGGTCGTCAATAGAAAACGATTTAATGTTGTCACAGGTTTTTTTCCCTATACATATGGCATGAAATTTGCTAGGATTTGCTTTCATACCATTTGCTGAAAACCAGTTTAGTAAAAATTTACTTTCTTTTTCTATAGTAAGTTTAAGGTTCGAAGAACAGTTGCTGATATATGAAAGGGTATTGTCATCAGCATAATTGTACAAATCGCAGTCTTTTAGAAACGTAAAAATGTCATTAAGAAAAATGTTAAAAATCAGTGGGCCGACAATAGACCCCTGGGAGACTCCCTTACTTAGCAGCTTCCAGTCGCTGACATCGGGGCCAAGTCTAATCCGCTGATGTCTGCCACTGAGGTAGCTGCCGATGAAACTGACTGCAGTCTCATCCAGCCTATAGGCTCGCAGCTTCTCCAGTAGCAGATTGTGTGGAATACAGTCAAAGGCCTTGGACAGATCCATCAGAATTGCTCCAATAAACTGACGATCATCCAAGGCCCGGCGCCAATTCTCAAGTAGACGAAGCACAGTAGACTGGCACCCGAAACCCTTTCTGAAAGCTGCTAAGTAAGGATTAAAAAATATACTAAAAAATTCACCTCGGATCCTGCTTTTAGCATTTTGACAGAAATTCCGTCCACCCCAGTAGATTTCTTTCAGTCTAAACTAGATATAAGTTTCGTTACCTGTTGCTAAATTGAAAGGACCCCTCATCTTCCGCAGGTTTCATGTTGTTTTGAATATGTACAATGCTTGGGTGATCAGAAAAATACCATTCACCATCAAGCTCTTTAGAGCTAGGGCCTGTGCTACAACGTTCAAAAAAGTAATTACGGATTGACTTTCTCTTAATCAACATTCATTTATTATACATCGTGATTTTATAAATTGATATGTAACATATAATTAAACAAATTAAGGAGGAAGACAAGTTTGGCCTTGTGCTCTATCCGGGCCTCAGAATCCGAAAACTTAAATCTGGAGATATAAGTGTTGAAATATGTGAAGTTAAGACATTAAACTGTAATTAAAATTTTAATATGCTTAGTCAGATTGTCGAGGCCGGGTCTGCGTCTGGTTGACAATATTTTACCCCAATTTTTCACCCATACAAAGTAAACTGATGGTAGTATATAGTACAACATTACAAGCATCGAGTGAAATATTTTGAAGCATACAATGTTTAGAAACCGGTGTTTTTAATGTTTATTCAGACCACTGTCCGGTCACTTTTTCTATTGGTATTCATAAACGTAGTGTGTTTAATGCGTCAAGTACTGAGAATACTGTGAGACAGGATGTAAGTTTTGTGAATATGAAATGGGAGGATGAGAAAAAGAAGAAGTTGTGAGAGTTTTAGAGAATAATATTGATGATTTGCTGGACATTTGTGATGTTGGTGAGCTCAGTCATAATAATATAAATACGAGTGTTGATAAATTTTCGTGTAAATTGAATAATTTTATATTACCTTTCTGTACAAAGAATATTATACATAGTGGAGTGCAAAAGGTTGATACCAGGGAAGATAAACCCTGGTTTAATGTCAAATGTAAACGAAGGTATAACGAATATAAAAACGTTCTTTAATATTAAACAAATGTAAAAACGAAGAACACCGTGTCTGTCTTATTAACAAGAAAAAAATGTACAAAATATTAGAATACAAACTTAAAAAGAATATAAGTGTTAACAAGGTAACATGCTTAATTACATGAGAAAATATAATCCTCAGTTTTAAAAAACATTTTAAAAAAAGGAAGCAAAAGTTTAAAAACGATTTGAATGATACTGCTTTTCTTGACCATTTTTATAAATTAGCTTCAACCAAACCAACTATTGATGCTAATGTTTCATTATTTTCTGCAAGAACATGATTTTAACTCTTCGAATGTAACATTTGACGAATTAGACGTTAATATATCAGAAGCCGAAATATTTGGTGCAATTAATAAATTAAATGCAAATAAGGCATGTGGCCCTGACAATATTTTAAATGAATACATAATTTAATGTAAGACGGTGTTGATGCCTTGTTTTGTAACTTTATTTAACACTATACTTAAAGCTGGTCATTTCCCGGAAGCATGGTCAAAAGGTAATATTGTGCCTGTCTTTAAGAAGGGAGATGTCAACGATGTAAATAGTTACAGAGGTATTACTCTTGTTAGCTGTTTGGGGAAACTTTTCACGTCAATCATTAATAATAGGCTTTTGGTATTTGACCAAAAATATAGTAAAATAACGGATGCTCAGTTTGGTTTTAAGAAAAACTTGTCTACTATTGACGCCATATTTGCTTTACAGTCTTTGATTAATCGCACTCTAAAACGTAAAAAAAATATATACTGTTGCTTTATTGATTATACAAAGGCTTTTGATTTCGTCAATAGACAAAACTTGTGATTCAAATTGATAAAAGAAGGCATTGTTGGGAGATTATTAAAGCTAATAAGGTTATTGTATAGTAGTGTTAAATGTTGTGTTAAGCATAATGGTTCATTATCCAATTATTTCAATTGTGAAAATGGATTGTTTCAAGGTGAAATTTTATCACCATTATTGTTTACATTATATGTTAATGATTGCGAAATGCAATTTTTAATTGACAAGTTCAAGTTTACAACTGTTAGTCGATAGAAATTCAAACGCTGAATTTGTTCCTTTTTATGTACGCAGACGATATGGTGATTTTTTTCCGAAACGCCAGAGGGTCTGCAAGATATGTTACACTTTGTAGAATCGTACACAAAAAAAAATGGGATATAACAGTCAAAACGGATAAAAAAAAAATCTTGTGTTTCGAAATGGGGGTATTTTGAGAAATAATGAATGTTGGATATACAATGGTTGTCAGTTAGAAATTGTAAATTAGTTTAACTACCTTGGAATCTTAATAAATTACAATGGAACCTTTAGAAAAACACAACAAAAAAATACAGGTCAGGGAAGAAAGGCTTTGTTTTCAGTTATGAATGTATGTCGGAAAAATGTTCTTAATATTGAAACTCAATTATCAGTTTTTGATACGTATGTAAATAGTATTCTAAGCTACGGTTCTGAAATATGGGGCTTTCATAAAACCTCAGGTATTGAAAAAAATCATACTTTGTTTTGTAAACGACTGCTTGGCGTAAGAGAATTTTATAAGACATGAACTTACTAAAGCAGATCTGAAAATCATTGCTCTGAAAGGGTACATACATTTCTTTTTTTTTATTATAAAGTATAACACTATCTACTCGTAACAGGAACCGTTACACCATGAGGTGCCGAAGCTAACCAAGCAGTCGCAAGTGATGGATCAGAAAATGATCGCAATGCCATAAAACTAGGGTTGTCAAACCGGTCTTATTTTTGTAACCGGTTACTCTTCTACCGATCGAGAAACCGGTTAATCGGTCAATTTGGTAGTCAAATAATAAACAGCAACAAATACATTATATGTTTGGAAAATGTGTTTACACCACAAACACACACGTATATATTAATTAGCATGATAGTTTACTCGTGTATTTCAAGGTTTACACAGGAAATAGTTGCTTGTAACCTCAGTAATTATATGTCATATGGACAACGAATGTCGGAATGCAGTAAGACGGATTCAATTACAATTATCTGTACTCGAAATCATATGCGGTAATATTATTTCTTTAGAACAAAGTTTGTTTGACAAACGTTTTAAAAACATTCAAGTGTGTA